GCAAAGAAAAAGCCAAAATTCTAGAAGCCATTCTTATACAAATAAACAACACACATTAATTAAAATATCTTTCTCCACGGCAGATGATGTGTGTATAATATAAAAAACGCACGTATAGAAATTCATTACGTTTTTTGTCCTTTTAACGGTTACATATGACAAAACTTTGAATTGATTCCAATTTCAATTCCAGAAGTTTGTCAAATAGATCATATTGACCGTACTGAAAAAAAAAAAAGTTCTTGACATTGATTGTGATAGTCGAAGTATTTGAATATAATAGAAAAACATGAACTTTAGACATTTTATTCATAACTTCAATCCCAATGTATTATGCAGAATTCGGAAATTGAAAAAAAAAATGAATAAACAAACCTTACCGGTGGAATTTAATAAAACTTACTTGCATTATTTACATTATTCAGACTATTATCCTTAAACTTCATTCCCATATTCACAACGTTTCGTCCATTGTAAGCTCCAGCTTTCTTCAGGTAGATTGTTCTTCTTCCACGTGCCATACCTCATTCTGATGTCTCATTTCCCTTTAATTCAACTCTCTTGGTTCATCACTGCTGTGGCCTGATACTGAACTCACAACTCTTTGGGTCTAGTCACTGGATCTAACCAACGTCTTTATCCACTGGGCCATATGTCCTTCACTTGACTCAGGTCGGTGTGCAAAACGTCCGAAACGTTGGGAATATGGCAATGAAGATGAGGATAGCATTTCAAATAATGTAAATAATGCATGTAATCATATCTCATCTCAGAGATATAAACAGATATTAATGAAACTTGTTTGAGTTAATTCTTACTGCCTAAATATCAGGTCATCCCATAAGTTCTGTCCGAATCTGACCTTTTTTTAAAATGAACGAAATTTAAAGAGTATTTTATAATGTCTAATGGAGCTGAACATTATTTTTATGTTTAGATGCATTTAAACTGATCAAATTTTATTTCAGAGAACAATAAAATTAAATTTTGTTTGATTAAAACCCTGCTAACATGGAAGTACCCAAGAATCATTTGAGGCACATAATGCTTTATGAGTTCAAGAAAGGAAACTCAGCAGCCGAAGCGGCTAGAAACATTCACTCAGTTTATGGAAAGGAATCTGTGAATGAAAGAACTTGCAGAAGATGGTTTGCAAAATTCAGAGGTGGAGATTTCACCCTTGAAGATGAAGATCGAACCGGACGTCCAGTTGAGTTTGATGAAAAGCTTCTTGAAGCAGCCCTTGAAGAGAATCCTGCTTTATCAGTTGATAAATTGGCAGTGGTTATCAGTTCAAACCATACAACTGTTCATCGTCATCTTCAACAAGTTGGAAAAGTTCCTAAACTTGGAAAATGGGTGCCTCATGAATTGTCTGAAAACAACCTCAAATCCCGAGTTGACATTTGCTCTTCTCTCCATTCTCGCTAACTTGTTTCACCTTTTTTGGATAGACTTGTGACTGGCGAGGAAAAATGGATCTTTTATCGAAATGTTAAGCGTCGTAGACAGTGGCTTGGTAAAGGGGAAGGACCTCAGCCACAGCCGAGAAGGAAACTTCATGGGCAAAAGGTTCTTCTTTCAATCTGGTGGAAACGCCAAAGAATAATCCACTTTGAATTCTTACAACCTAATGCAGCAGTTAATGCTCAAATATACTGTCAGCAATTAGAGCGTTTGAACCAAGCTTTGAGGAAAAAAAGACCTACTCTAGTGAATCAAAAAGAGGTGATGTTTCATCAGGACAATGCGCGAATCCATACAGCAAGAATCACGTCACAAAAGATCGAAGAACTTGGCTGGGAGAAAATTCATCATCCACCTTATTCTCCCGATCTTACTCCTTCAGACTACCATTTGTTTCGTAGCTTCATTTGGAAGAAACAGCTTTTGTAACACAGGAAGAGGTTAAAACTGATATTTGTGAGTTCTTCGAATCAAAGCCAAAAGAATTTTACAGTAATGGAATTAGTAAGCTTGTTAATAGATGGAAGGAAGTCATAGATAATCAGGGAAAATACATTGTTGATTGAATCTGTAATTAAATGTAACATTTGGTCACTTTTTTTTCTTTATTCAAAATTCGGACAGAACTTATGGGATGATCTGATACATCTTGCATATGTTTATTCATGTCTGTGTGTGTGTTTGTGTGCAGCGAGGGAAGGAAAGTTATTGAGGCAACAGTTTTATTAATTATATTTTATTAATCATCGCTTTGCCCTCTATAGTTTAAATGCTTAACCTTAATTCATGTTGAGTATGGCACCATCGTTGTCAAGTGTGACAATCGCAAGACACCATTGTAAAACTTAGTTAAACGGATATGACCTTTCAAATAGGGCAAAACATTCACAGCACAAATTTGGAAAATTATGAATCACATATATTTTGTTATGATTAGATTTATTTTTGCGACTGTTTGCAAGCGTTTCCCTCACACCCGCTGAATTACAAACTTTTCCATAAATGTGACACGAATTCTCAGCATTTAATCCTATTTTTCCTGCTTTATTCAAGCAAAAACTAACATAAAACTTCCTTGATTCATGTCTGTCATCTATATGATCTGGAAGTTCTAAATCAAGACTTTTGGAAACTTCAGGTTTTCTTTTGTAATAATCTTTTTTCATGAACCTTCATTCACCAGGTGCTACGATCATTTGCATGCAACTCCCACCTATATATATATATATATATATATATATATATATATATATATATATATATATATATATATATATACTAATGTTTGCAAGTTTCAGTGATTCTTTCAGACCATCTTTATAACGCGTCATTGGCTTAGGGATTAGTCCCTTTCCGTTAGGACAATATGACCACTACAATGCAAACCTCCCATGTATATATATATATATATATATATATATATATATATATATATAAAAACCAAATTGTGACTGGTAAGGATAATTAATATTAATCCAGGGAGAGCTCAATGTAGACTACATAGCATTAAAATAATAATAATAATAATAGTAATGACAATAATAATAATAATAATAATAATGATAATTTTTATTATTATTATTATTATTATTATTAAGGCCAATTTTGTTGGACTAATTTGGAATTGTGTTGATTTGTCCTGCCTAAAATAACGGGCCATATCGGTCAATATCGTGTATAACGCAATGTACAAAGTTCCACATTTTAAGGAAAAAATTCTTCGCCTGATCAGTCTTTTTAGGCTTACTACTATCCCTTCATTTCTTCTTTCGTTCTTTTCCTTTCCATAACCCCTCTCTCTATATCATTTTTAAAAGAACTAGACCTTCCGTCACTTTTGTTCTTCCTCTGCTTCTCTTTTCTCTTCTCTCTTGCTCCCCCACTCCCTGTCAATCTAATATAGCAGTCCGGAGAATTGTCCCCATTAACTAAGAGATTTCGGTCTGAAGAGATGAATATATAGATATTCACGAAATAAATTATAACCGAAATGAATCTTTAAGGTTTTTTTTCTCGATTATTAATATATATATATATATATATATATATATATATATATATATAAAGTGATTATTGAATTTTATCCATTGTCTTATATTATTACCGTATACGTTATATTTAATGGATAGGCGTGTTTGGGTAGATGTATTTGATTTTGAAACATTATATTTTTCGCTATTTGCCCGGGTTTTTCGGAAGGCTTTAATAAAGGAGATTTCGGCTAAAGTGCATATCTTCTTTATTTAAGAGGCTCGAAAAATACAGGCCGATAGCCGCAAATATAGTCTTAAGAAAAAACAAAACAAAAAAAAATACAGTTCATACCAGTGTGTTAAGGTAGAAATAGATCCGGTTTCTACTTGAGTCAAAAGGTAAACATTGTTCTAGTTTATACATGAGGCTGGAAGCATTTACCGGGAAGGTAGCTCCTGTTTGTGGTGAGTATTACCTGTCTAATGGAGATTTGTATTCTATGCTCCTCTGACTGAGCTATGCATAACTTATTTTTAGCTTCATAAAATAATTGTATATATAAATATATATCAGCGATAAAGGGAGAGAGAACGTGTGTATGTGTGTGCGCGCATGCGTGTACGTGTGAGCGCGAACTCCTTAATGTTATTTATTCTACGATAAGGAACCGGTGAGAAACACCCGTGAAAAACGAACTGATGCCAAGTTGGGTATTCAATTACTTTGTGTCACTTTACCTGACGTTTTCACAAGTGTTTCATGCTTTGGCTTACTTATTCTTCGTTATTTCTTCATTTATGATACTTCCTTTCTCTTTCTCTTTCTCACTCCCTCTCTCTCTTTCTCTTTGTATGCCACTCTCTACCTCTCTTTACTTTTCTCACTGTGTGTCTATTTTTTCTCTCTCCCTTCCTCTCTCTTCGCTTTTCTCTCTGTCTCTCTCTATCTTTCTCTCTCTTTCTATTTGTGTCTTTCTCTTTCTCCCTATGTCTCATTCTTTCTTCCTCTTTCTCTTTATGTCTCTCTCTTTCTTTACCTTTCAATGTCTTTCTCTCTCTTTCTCTCCCTCTCTCTGCGACTCTACCTTTCTCTATTTCTCTTTGTGCCTCTCGTTCTCTCTGTGTCTCAATTTTTCTCACCCTCTTCCTCTTTGTGTCTCTCTCATCCTTACCTTCCTCGAAGTCTCTACTCTCTCTCTTTCTTTCTCTTTCTCTCAGTATGTGTCTCTTTCTCTGTGCACCTCACTCTTTCTCCCTCTTTCTCTGTGCGTCTTTTTCTTTATCTTTCTTTCTTTCTTTCTTTCTCTCTCTTTCTCTGTTTTTTTTTTTTTACTTTTATCTCCGTGTCTCTACTTTTTCTCTCTTTTTCTCTGTGTGTGTCTCTTTCTCTATGTGTCGCTATCTTTCTCTTTACCTTTATGTGTCTATATCTCTGTTTTACTATTCTTTCTATTTCTCTCTCTCTCTGTCTGTCTGTCTCTCTCTCTGTCTCTCTCTTTCTCTCTCTTATTGTCTCTCTTTTTCTATGTATCTCCGGTCTAATGGTTGTATGTATTTCAGGCACACCCAGTCTCTGTTACCGACCCGACGGCGATGGGATATGTGAAGAGGACGAGCAGAACATCAGCCTGAGGGACTGTGGCTATCACACACCTGAAGGCTATGATGATCAATGGCCAATTTCGGCCATCGGAAACCCTCGCCACCAACTTACACCAAAATGTTCCGAAAAGGTCCTGATCGGCGAACCTAACCGGTTTCAGGTGCGTATAAACATATCTGTTGGAAATCAAATTATACTTGACTCGAAAATTGGAATCTAATTTCGATAATTTCATTGGGGTTTCCTATCAAACAAGCGCCCCTTGGACAACAAAATGTTTCGTCGTTAAGGTTATAATTATTCCGATTTTTATCGGAATCACAACTTTTATTCTCTACAAAATACAATGGCGCTACATTTCTTCCGAACCACAAAATATGCTAACTCAAAAAATTGTTACAGAAATATTTGTCGATCACTGATGAACGATATAACTACGATGACGGATATTTCCGTCATTTGCAGTTGAATTACAAATGCGGAGATTCATTTCATCGGTAATTAAACAGGCATACATTACTAATATTTTATTAATTTTGTAGTTTTTTTTTTACAGTTCTTTTTAGCACATTTTAGAAGAATTTAATTCAAGATCTGAGGAAAAGAAAGGCTTATATGTTTTTGTAATAAAAGTAGGCACTAATAAAATACGTGTAATAATGAATTTGCATCATTTCCGAATTTCAAAAAAGCTTAATCTTTTTACTTGGAGTTAGTCAAGAATACGACATGAAATACGTTTTGAATGACAAAGTATGAATTTTAAGGATACGAAACCTGCCTTGTAGTGCGTGATTTAAGACAGGAAATAACAGAATGACATTAAGGATGTTTGTTTCTAAAAAAAGATCATCTGTAGCCTCCTCCAATATAAACTTTGTACTCAATTCCATAACAGTGTGTCATAGAATTCAGGTGCATTAGCGGGTTGACATGGAAGGTAACCTCCTAGCCATCAGGTGCAGATTTCGTGCCTAATGGAACGACAGTGGCTGCATCCGACATGAAAACACAAAGTCGACCCAGCTACGTTTATGATGTGCACACGGGGGATATTCGGATAACAGGTAGCACTTCATTCGGGAGGAAAAGTGGGAGGAGGAGAGAGAGGGGGGATTGAGTTAGGGAGAGAGAGCGAGAGAGCGAGAGAGGGAGAGAGTCTCTGATATCAAATCTTCACGAAAAGAAGAATCTATGTTTGGAGACAACACCAAAGCCACACACCTTTTTGCTAATATTAATAGACGATGCCCGATATTGAAAAAGTTATAATTTTACGTATGATAGATTCAGTCACGCAATCTTATACGTCTGTACAATTATATTATTACAATTATATCATTACAATTATATCATTATATTTATCATTACATTTATATCATTACATTTATATCATTGCAATATTATAACTGGGAAAAGAATCTGAGTTCATGTTTTCTTTGAAGTTACCCTTGATTTCTGTTATTTACTGTTTAAGAACCGTATCGAACCTGACAATAAAAATTTTGAGCAACTGAACACTACTTCATTATCTTTCCCAAGAGCACATGACATTTCCCAAATCGTAAAAAAAATCTCTAGAGTGTCGAGATCCCCTACGTCCTGATGTGATATAGCACTTCCAAAAAACATTGAAAAACAATTGTAAAAACGAGAAAATCTTCAACAAAAGTTCATAAAATTAACGGATTCAGTTAATTTTGCTTTCAAAACTGTTTTAACTTGGGGTTAATTTTTTTTATCCAACACTCATAAAATTTGTTTTGTTGTTCGGTGTATTTAATAATGTATTTCATGTAAAAGGAATTATAAATAGATATCACATCTACAATAACTTAGGTGAATTTTCAAGAAAAAAATTCTCCCGTCATTCCTCGCGCGATTTCTATTCATCTAAAAAAACAGTGTATATTTTAATGAATGAAAAACTTGTCTTTCAAAGATAACAAAGGGTTCTACGGTCCTCAAAACCTCCCGATCAGAGGCCTTGCTGCCGGATATAGCTTCACGTCAAAACCCACGACTGTATTTATGGGGACATCAAAATTAAACATATACCAAATTCAACTATTTGGATACTGACAGACGACGAAAAAAAACAAAAAACGTAACGCAAAAATTCGAAGGAGCAAACAAATATCAAAAGATGCCTTACAGAATCTAAGCAAAGTATCAAGACAGGAAATTTTGTTCGAAACAAAGATAGATGCTCTGAACGGCTATATAAGATAACATTTCTATATATTGGGAAACGCTGGAGAATCTCTTAACAGATGCAGAACAGACGTGAAACTACAGAAATATGGTTCTACTGATAAATGAAAAGAATACTACGGACAGGCTATATAAATAACGATGAATTTTTAAGGAAAAAAACAGTAACTACAAGCAAACTTATACTTAAAATGAGAAAAGCACTGTTAAAATATCTGGGAAAGATAATGAAAAAAGAAAGCTCTGTGAATTTAATACTCACAATGTATAAAAAGCGAGCAATTTAACGAGGTTTTGTGAATGGATGGCAGAACAAGGACGAAGAGAAAGAGTAAAGAAGTAAAAATCATTTAGGGAAGCAAACGACAAGAAGTTGTGGAGAGACATGATCACATACGCCTTGAACGGACATAGCTCATGAAAGAAGAATTGAATGGATGGGAGAAGAAGGACAAAGATGGATGGTAAAGAGTTAAAATATTGTAAGGTTATGAGAGCCATGATCACCCACATTTTGAAGATTTTAGATGTCCTAAATTCCGGCTTGATGTTTGAGTCATTTATTAACTAATTAAAAAAAATATTTGTTTAATTTAAATTTCTCAAATTTCTAATGATTTACCGATATGAGATGTGCATAATTAGTAGGTCAGAGGTCAATTATATCATTACTACTCGATGACCTCTGATGGTCCGGTAAATTGGATAATCCGAGAAGGTTCTGGAAGCAACAACACCGAAAAAAATCGATGGATTAATTTGGCGGATGCTTGTGAACATTTAATTAACAAAAAAATTAAAATTAAAAATGCGGTCAATATTTCACGATTAGCTATTCAGGATAATTTAGTCTATAATATAAAACACAGTGCGATTTTAGATATGAATCAGTTACGCTGACTGAGCTCCTCTACTTAATAATAAAATTATCCGATATTATCATAAGAGGACATTATTCGGCGTCAGAATGTATGTGTGATCAGGCTCCTAATACATCACCTTTTATTTCATGTCCGCTTTTTTGGGATATTTATTTATTTATTACATACTTAAAGTTCAGAATTTTGTTCTTACATGTGACAATCACGTAAAGTAATCTTGGATTAAAAATATAGTCAAAGACATTACAAAATCATTTTTGACACTACAGTTAATTTATAAAAGACACACTGGTATATTACCCACACCCCCATTTCGTCAAAGCTTATTTGAAAAAGTTTTACTTTTTTTGGATGTATATTTAATCGTGTAATGTCAGAGATATATTTATCTATAGCCTTGCTGTTATGCTTGCTGGGTTAGTGTTTTACCATTACTAGCATTTCCTCTTAGTCACATCTCTTTCTGCTCTTGTTTCAAGCTAGTCAATGATAGGAGTGTGCTGAGACATAGATATGATTGATTTGCTAGTACCGGCAAATGTCACCAGTAATTTCATACGATAATTACTTTTATAGTATCCGTCACAATAATATTGATGAAATTTAAGTAAATAATATTGTTATGGAGTTTGGTTAGGTAAAAGTGACCATCTAAGGTAAAATTATAGCGTACGGTTGTGACCGTTGGGGATAAAATAATGAAATTAGTCTTCGGGAAGCCACATCTTGACATGTAAAATGCAGCACGATGTTTTAGGCATTTTTTGTGTAAAAGAGTGCGTGTTTTACATATCAGGACAATAGTCTAGTGGATGAAAGTGTTACAGAAATACAAAAACAAATGTTTTCTTTGAATGAACTGCTTATCTGTACAAAAAGAAAAGTATGCAAAGACTATTGTCCTCATCATTCATTGTTGTTATTACAACGTTTCAGCCGTTGGGCTCTCCAGCCTTCTTCAGGAGCTTGTTGATCCTCAGAGAATTTCGAAAATGTAAATAAAAAATATATATATTTTTTACTCTGAAGTTATGTTTATCCCACATGATAATAGCCCAGGTGTATTCAAGCATTGGTTTGTAGTTTTGGTGAGTTCAATCCCTGGGCTGGGCGGTGTATACATAAGTGGAAATGGGGCGAGCAATAACTGAGTAATGATAAGATAAAAAAAAAACTAGACGGGAAATGAGAACAATCTACCTTCGTAGATTAAATAAAGGATTCAGTTCGAAAATCCCTGTAGGTTACCCAAGTCGTCAAGACCCTGATGAAGGTCGAAGAGTACAACGGCCTATTGTGATAAGAACAACAAAGAGGGCAATAGTTTGCAGGTAAATAATGTAAATAAAATACATTTTATATGCCAGAAAATATACTGATTATTTAATGAATAAAGGTCCTAAAAGCGAAGGAAAAAATATAAAAAAATAAATGTTTTTTTTTAAAAACTCTGAAACAGTTTTGTGAGTATAATCATGTTCCGTAATCCACTCGAATCATAAGTGCATCATTAGGTGTGTTTAGAGCAACGAAACCTGAAGGAACTCATCTCTCTTCAGGCTGGTTTCAAATTTAGAGTTGTCCTTTCTCCTGGACTGGTTGTCCTGTTAGAGAGACCAGGCAGATTTATGCCTTTCTTATGGGTATTTTTTTGCGAAAGTGAACGAAACACAATCGAGTGGAATTTGAATTTCATGTTGACAATCGTTACAGTGTACCGGCACATCCGTCATGAAGATAGGGAGGATGTACAGATAGAAAGAAACACGTTGTTCGGCGCAGAAAATGAAATCAGCGAGTTGAGTTCAAATTCCGGTCGATACACTTTAGTTCACTTTTCACGAATGCTGTTGGGAAAGGTATAACTTCACCTTTCCTTTGTTATAGATTAAACAGGAGGGCAGACTGAACTGTTTAGCCTTGCTAGGGAAATCAATTTTGGAGAGGGAAAACTCTGAATTAATAACCATCCTTAAGAGGGAGGGGCTTTGTCAGACTTTCTTTTAACACATACGGATGCACTAGGGTAAATTGAAACACAAAGTAACACGCAGATTTAGGCATG